ATCTAGCGACACGCGAATCGAACTAATCACGTAGCAGCCGTGTAACTAAAATGTATGCGAAAGAGAACCGCGGTACGTAATTTCAAGCGAGAAAGCTGTAATTACGCGACGTCGGCGTGAAATTCGAGGTTCACTTCACGCTACTCGTGTCAAAAGGATTTTTGACGTTCCCGTTGAAGTTAACGCGTTTCGTAATCGCGCGCTAAAATTTCGGTAGAAAAATCGTGCAGTTGGCTGAAAATTCATCATCGTTTAATCATGGTCGTTCGACGGAACTCGCGAAATCGGAAGTGCTTAACTTCACCGTGACTCGGCTTCTGGCATGGCTCCCGAAGGATGGCTCTCGAGCCGAAAATGCAAAAGACAACTTCCGATGGTGAGGCCCAGAGGCGAGAAGTACAACGTTGACAATCAAGGGAGTAAAAACGATGAGGACAGATGTCACGCTGATGTTTCGAGGTACGTGTTGTCCATCTAAAATTTACTCTCCGATAGGTTATACACGCGTTTCAATCGATCAGGATATTTATTCGAAATCGTTAAATACGATGTGTTGAACGATAAACGTCTTTCCGTCAGAACAGTGCTCGTTCTATTTCTTTGAATAATTTTAACCAACAATTTCAAATGACGAATAAAATATATATACGTTTCTTGATTAGAATATATATTGTAAAAAACATTCATGATACATTACTAATTTAGCGATCGTTTTATTACACCAATTAAACAAAAATAAAAGAGTGTAGACTCGATTGATTGATGTGATAAATTCGAGAGATAATCTGCTGAAACATATAAAATATTCAAACAGTATTCAGTAGTTGATAAATAATAATAGTTAATAAACGAACCAAGTTCCACAATATAGTTATAAAATTTGACTTGAAGATAATCATTAAACGAAATATAACAAAAATATAGATATGATCGTTTCGAGCAATGTATCGTTTAACCTACTCAGAAACTCTAATGCTAATATTTTTTTTATGCACTTATCAGTTATGCAATTTTGTTAAGAAGCAACTTACTACGTATACTAAAGATCAAATCAAAGCCACGATAAAGAATAATTTCGTTATTGTTTCTAGAAATTTTCGTTTCATCGAATTTACTCGACCGTGACAGTAAAAAATCTGTCGAAATACACGACTAAGAACGAAACAGTAAAGTAAAAATATTAAGCAAAATATTAAAAAGAGGATGGTCGCGAACGACGATGAAGAACAGAGGCCCGGTGGACCAGTTTGAACGAAAGCGCCTTTTCGGAAATCGATAGCCAGAGAAGTTCGTGAGGCGTCGACTGTGCTCGTGGAAGTTCGCACGGCCACTAATCAATCCGCGGGAGCTTTCGTGTTTATCAACAAGTGCCGCATACACCTGCCTTCGCGTCAGCTTCCGTGACGATCGTTCGGGAAGCCACCACGTTCCGTGGCAACCCCTTCGTCGCCGGTGGTTCCTTCGAATCGTGTTCGAGGACGAGGTGAAAGCACCGAGCCGTGTCCTCCAGCAGCCACCACCTTGGCTGCCTGACGAATCGTGCGTGTTGTCGCGGGTGTTCTCGTCGACGAAGGTTCTTATTTTCGAACTTTTACCTCCTCGTCAGTTCCTCTTGCTTCCCATCTTCGTTCGATCCTCGGTTTCCTCGATTTTCCTTGGTTCTCTCTCTCTCTCTCTCTCTCGTCGAGCGTGACTTCACCCGGAGTTACATTACTATTAATAACGCCGCGATGTCGTTGCACGACGCTGCCCTTGATCAGCTGTTTTTCACAGAATTTCTGCTCTCGAAGGCGAACAGTGACGTTCCGTTGGCAATTTTCGAAACCGGTCTTCTTGTGTTTTTTGTAATTTCGTTAGATTGGAGATTGTGAAAATACGAAAGTTAGATGAGAGTTGGTTTGCTCTTAAGGAATGGAGATTGATATCCGAGCGGATAAAGGATTAGGTCAAGCAATCATCGAATTTGCATTTGTGCTTTTGCATGTTCTCCGTTCGTTCTGACGATGTTTACCAGTTGAATTGCCAAGTGATATGATATACAGATTTCGACGGATTTTATTTCGATACGAAATTCTACCGTTGTCTTCGCCGGGCACGAATATTCGCACGAAATTCCTTCATAATTATCTTCGGCTACTGGGTCTGAACGCATATTGTACGCCGATTTATTTCAGGATCTTCAAATCGCCTTTCTTTTCTTGTACGTATTTACGCTGTTAAACACTTCGCACCTCGAGATGGGAACTCACCTGTTCGTCATCATTTACTGTCCCATGTTTTAATAAACTAATGATCTTCACGAAGCACCAATAGAAAGGTTGGACACGTTTCTCATCTTTTTGGCAAGCGAATTTTGCTCCTGCCATCTCTCATCGTCGTCCGCAAACGATGTTTTCCGCGTGCGCGCTAAAATCCGCCGGTTTCGAAACAATTGTCGCTATAAATCCGTTTGCAATTCCTCCTTCAGAAAGAGAATCCAAAAACAAAGACTTCACTTTTCTAATTCACGTGACGAAGTGGATTCAGTGAATTTTATGTCCTTTTACCTTTTTCGTAAGTTAAATAGAATGAAAGTGAAGTGAACGAAGTGATGGACTGTCTCGATGTGTACCAGCGAGGAAAGACCAATATTTATTAGAACTTTGGTTAACTGTCTCTGATGATTGGTATACAAACGTGTCATGCTAATACGGTCGTTTCTTCGAGTTTTCGAGAGACGAGACTCAGCGATGTGCCGGTTAATGATCGAGGGGTGCGATCGGGGAGGGTGCGATCGAAAATATGAGGAAAGGGGCGCGGTTTTCGGAAAGCGGCCGTCACTATAAATAGAGACGCCTCGTGCGTGCGTGCTATGCTTTTAAACATAGTTTTGGCAGCGCGAAACGTCAAACCGCCTCGGAGTGGCAAAGTGCGTGGATCGTTCCGCGAACTTTGCGGAAAACATTGGCCGGAATCCTCGTTTCGTTTCGTCTAATTCGTGTAAATAATCGCGCGGCACCGGAGATACTCGAGTACTCGAGAATAAAATGTGATTTCGTATGATCAGATTAAAGAAACAGAAATCATTCGTCTCACTATCCGTCCGCAACGAGAAGGAAAAAAAAATTGAAAAAAATAGAAGATTTATTGGCAACGTATAGAAACCCGTTCGCAATTGCAGCGAAGAAAGAAACGTCATTCAAGTCGGTCTCGGAAAGAATAATTCGTTCAATCGAACCATAATTCAGCCATTTTATTTCATTCGTTGTTGCGTCGTTTCTGATTTTTTCTTCCTTCTTCTTCTTTTTTTTTTTTTTTTTTTTTTTTTTCATTCGACTAAAGGGAAGTAGAAGTGTAGGAAGTTTCGTTGAGGGGAATAAGAAATGAAAAGTGCGTCGGAGAAACGTGATAAGGAGAACCAGCGACCGATGGAGACGAGTCACGAGACTGACGGAGACGAGGATGCCCAGGACGAAGAGTAAAAATCGCCACCACACTAGCAAAAACGCCTGTCCCCGCGTTTCGTGCGTGTGCTCGTCGCTCTGCGTCAGGTTTCCGATCCCGATTCCGAACGCACATTTGGAGACGCTTCGATGCACGCTTCTTTTCGTTCGTGTGCAGTGGATGCAGAAAATAAATTGCGTGCCGATCAATTTTATGCCTCAAATAGTCATCGTTGGATCACGGATGACAAATGTGGCAATTTACGAGTTTTTGATTTTACTTTCTCTGCGACGGAGATTAGTAATATAATATTAAATTAAATTAAACTCGAAATTCTCAATGATCCAACGATACCAGTTGATACCAGAGAGTTGAACATTCAATTTCGTGAAATTGTGATTTTTTTTTATTTAACTTGTGTAAGACGATTGTAAGCTCTGTATCAAAAAAGTATTCAGATTCTAGAATCCTTTAAAATAATCGTCGAAGAATGAGATTCAAATCTCAGGAAACGTATGAAATCAGAAGTTACTTCGGAAATCAAAATTTTACGAATTATAAATGTTTCTGCATTCACTGTATATATATATATGCCTGCATATATGCATATATGTATGCTAATTCACTGGACGTTCGATTGTTCCAATCTTTCCTGGGAAACACCCTCTTACTCAAAGAGGAAAGAACGACTGAATAGAAACAATGGAGAAACGTTCCGGCAGACTGCGACTAGTCATTGTTTGGCCGAACTCGCAAGGTTAATTGCAAAATCCACATTGGCATGCACAGCGTATGATTCCGGCCAAACAAATGAAGTTGAAGTTTAACGTAGAATATTTAATAAAATTAGTTAGATGATAATTTAATCGATCTACCCGTGTTATAGAAAATGAATTGCTCTCTAGAATGTGCCTTTTGAAGGTGGACGGACAATTGCCATAAGAAGAAGATGCAGGTGGTTGAAAAATTCTTGTCGAATTTTCAATTAATTAACACGTTGAGACTTTCAACGATGTAAATAAAAATACTATGTTGTATGCTGTATGTTCAAATACAACACATAGTATTTTGCAAAAATTAAATGTTACGATGTAGTACATCTCAATCTAGCAATAAGACAAAACATATATATAAAATTCGCAGTCAACGTGTTAATCGAATCGCATCAGCGCGTTCATTGCCTGCATTGCCTTTTCATCGTTTAGCTTCGTTTAAACAACTCTCGCTTCTAGAATTATATTAGATTCCATTGCCAATAATTCCACGATATCTTCGACGATATTCCGCTTCGATTCGAACGTTCACACGATTCCAAGCGAGATTCTTACCCTATCGATTCTATCGATCATCAACCACAATTTACCATCGTACGTAGCTGACGCTTTCGAAACCGCCGGCAATTGATCCGAGAGACTTGCAGCGTCTGCTATCGCGATCAACGCTCCAGAAGAAAGGAAGAATAGAGTTCGTGCCGTC